TCAATGCTAAAAAAAAATCAATGTTAACTAAAAAGTTAAGGGATTGAATATTTCTCTTATCTAGCACGCACATATCACGTATCTCACTCTTCATTCAGAAGAAATTATTTTGAATTCTTTGGTGATTTGTTTCCAGCAAATGAAACTTCATTTTCATTTAGTTACTGTCTTCCTTTGAAGTTTTGTGGAAATATTGTTATGATTGGAATCATGCCATGTCCCAGTCTTTTTTTTGTGTGTGTGTGTGTGTATATATATATATATATTACTGAAGTATAGTCAGTTTACAATGTTGTGTCAATTTCTGGTGTACAGCATAATGCTTTAGTCATAAATGAACATACATATATTCATTTTCTTATTCTTTTTCACCATAAGTTACTGTAAGATATTGAATATAGTTCTCTGTGCTATACAGTATGAACTTATTGTTTATCTATTTTATATATATCAGTATCTGCAAATCTCGAACTTCCAATTTATCCCTTCCCACCCTCTTCCCCTCATGGTAACCATAAGTTTGTTTTCTATGTCTGTGAGTCTGTTTCTGTTTTGTAAATAAGTTTATTTATCTTTTTTCTTAGATCCACATATAGGTGATATCATCTTGTATTTTTCTTTCTCTTTCTGGCTTATTCCACTTAGAATGACAATCTCCAGGTCCATCCATGTTGCTGCGAATGGCATTATTTTATTCTTTTTTATGGCTGAGTGGTATTCCATTGTGTATATATACCACATCTTCTTTATCCAGTCATCTGTTGATGGACATTTAGATTGTATGGACATTTAGACTGATGGGCATTTAGATTGTATTCCATGTCTTGGCTATTGTAAATAGTACTGCTGTGAACATTGGGGTGCAGGTGTCTTTTTGAATTAGGGTTCCCTCTGGATATATGCCCAGGAGTGGGATTGCTGGATCATATATGGTAAGTCTATTTTTCGTCTTTTGAGGAATCTCCATACTGTTTTCCATAACAGCTGCACCAAACTACATTCCCACCAACAGTTCAGGAGGGTTCCCTTTTCTCCACATCCTCTCCAGCATTTGTCATGTGTGGACTTTTTAATGATGCCTGTTCTGACTGGTGTGAGGTGATACTTTACCGAAGTTTTGACTTGCATTTCTCTGATAATTAGCGATATTGAGCATTTTTTCATGTGCCTATTGGTCATTTGAATGTCTTCATTGGAGAACTACTTGCTTAGGTCTTCTGCCCATTTTTGGATTGGCATGTCCCAATCGCTGGCTACATAATTATCCCTTGGCTTATACATTCCCCTAGAATGCCCTTTATGGCACCTAAAACTTTATAAACCATGTTTACATTGATGTTCTTCTCCTATTTCACCACTGATTGCTATTCTAGCCACCTAACAACATGAATCTGGCAATCAGCCAACCTAGATATTAGCATGACCTGGCTAATTGCTGAGTCACCTTAATGAAGTTAAACTCTATAAACCTATGTTGTCTAATTTCCAACGGGAGTAAAAGGTACTTAACCCATAGGTTGTTGTGAGTATCAAGTATGACGACAGGTATAAAGCATCCAACACAGTTCCTGGCACATAGTCCCACTGAAGAAATACTAATTTTCTCTCCCCCAATGGAAGTCTGCCAGTGGAAATGATTAGGTCTGAGAAGCAGAAACTAAAATGATTGGAAAAGATTAAACAGAGCCTAAGGGGTATGTGGGACACCAACAAACAGACCAACATATGCATTGCAGGAGTCTCAGAAGGAGAGAGAGAAAAAGGGCAGAGAGACTATTTAAAAAAAAAATGTCTAAAAAATCCCCAAATTTTATGTAAAAAATGAATATAAATATCTGAGGAGCTCAGTGAACTCCAAGGTTGAACTCAGAGATTCACACTGAGACCCATTATAATCAGACTTTCTAAAGACAAAGACAAAGGCAGAATCTTGGAAGCAGCAAAACAGAAGTGACTCATCACATACAAGTTATTCTCATAAGATTATCATCACATACAAATTGTTCTCATAAGATAAGTCTGGAGGCCAGAAGCAGTGGGCCAATATATTCAAAGTGAAAAAAAACAAACAAACCCCAAAAACAACCAATCAATCAAACAAACAAACCCCCACCCCCCAAACCCACTAACAACCAAGAATTCTGATCCAACAAAGCTGTCCTTTGAAAGTGAGGGAGAAATTAAGACATTCCCAGGTGAGCAAAAGCTGAGAGTTTATTATCACAAGATCTCCCTGCAAGACATGCCCAAGGGAATCCTGCAGGGTGAAATGAAAGGACACTGACTTGAAAAAGCAGTAACTTGAAGCCATATGAAGAAATAAAGATCTCAATAAAAGTAAATACATAAATAATGATAAAAGCTAGTATTATTGTAATAATGGTTTGTGATTATACTTTTTGTTTTGACTCAACAGAATATTACATTGAGGGAAATTATTAGCCCAAAAGCTAATATTATTGTCACTTTGGTTTATAAGTCCACATTTTGTTTTCTTCATAATTTAAGAGGCTAATGCATTTAAAATCATTAGTTTGTTTTAGGGTACCCAAAGTATAAAGTTGCACTTTTGTGACATCAATAACTGAATGGGGTGGGGACAGAGCTGTAAAGAAGCAGAATTCTTTTATGTTATTAAAGTTAAACTGATAAAATTTAGCATGGTATAACTTTAAGATGTTAAGTGAAATCCCCATAGCAATGACAAAGAACTTACCTATAGAATATACACAAAAGGAAATGAGAGAAGAGTTTAAATATTTGACTAAAAAAATCAAATAAACACGAAAGACAACAGAGGTAATGAAGGAAATGAAGAACAAAAAAGCTACAAGGGCATAGAAAAAAATAGCAAAATAACAGAAGTCAGTCCTTGCTTATCAATAGTTACTTTAAATGTATATAGATTAAAATCTCCAATCAAAAGACAGAAATTAGCAGAATGGAAAAAAAATACATAATCCAACTATATGCAGTATACAAGAGATTTATATTTTATGTCTAAAGATACAAATAGTTTGAAAATGAAAGAATGAGGCATGATATTTCATGCACATAATAACCAAAAGAAAAAACCAGGGATTGCTACACTAGTATCAGATAAAATAGACTTTAAATAAAAAGGTTACAAGAGACAAAAAGCACATAATATACTGATAAAAGTTTCAACACAGCAAGAAGATCTAACATTTGTAAACATTTATGCGCTTAATAATAGACCATCAAAATACATGAAGCAAAAGCTGACACAGCTGAAGGGAGAAACAGGCAGTTCTATAGCAATAGAGAATTCAAGACCTCATTCTCATTGATGGATAGAATAACCAAATAGAATTTAAGTAAGGAAATAGAGAACTTAACACATTCAGCCAACTGAACCTAACAGACATATGCAGAACATTCTACCCAACAAAAACAGCATACACATTCTTCACATGAGCACGTGGGACATTTCATGATAGACCACATATTAGGCCACAAATTAAGTCTCAACAGATTTTAAGAGATATATATATATATACATATATATCATACAAAGTCTTTTCTCTGACCACAGTGGGATGAAGTTAGAATTGAATAGCATAAAAAAAAAACCTGGAAAATTCACAAAATTTTGGCAAATAAATAACATATTTTAAAACAATGAATGGATCAGAGAATAAATCACAAAGGAAATTTAGAAGATATTATTAGAAGATACTTAGAGATGAAAATACAACATACGAAAGTCTGCAAGACACAGTGAAAGCAGTGCTGGGGGAAAATTTATAGCTATAAAGATTTACCTTAAAAAACGAGAAAGATCTCAAATTAGTGACCTAATTTTGCAACTTAAAGAACCAGAATAAATAAAGAACAAATTATACCAAAAACTAGTGGACGGAAGGAAATAAGAAAGGTTTGAGCAAAGATAAATGAAATATAGAATCAAAATAAAGAGAAAATCAAACCCAAAAATGGATTCTTTGAAAAGATCAACAAAATTGACAAACATTTAGCTAGATGGATTAAGAAAAAAAGAGAGAAGACTCAAATGATGAAAATCAAAAATGAAACTGACATTATTACTGATTCTACAGAAATAAATAGGATTGTAAGAGAGTGCTATGAACAATTGTACTCCAATAAATTGGAAACCTAGATGAAATGGACAAATCCCTAGAAACATAAAACCTACAGAGACTAAATCATGAAGAGAGAAAATCTGAATAGAGCTATAATCACTAAGGTGATTGAGTCGGTAATCGGAATCTCCCAATAAAGAAAAGCCTTGGGCCTGATAGTATCATTGGTGAATTCTACCAAACAGTTAAAAAATGAATGCCAATATTCCTCAAACTTTTCCAGAAATTGAAGAGGTGGTAACACTCCCTAACTCATTCTATAAGGCCAGCATTACCCTGACACTAAAGAAATAAACATATATATATTTATGAATGAAACATTATGCTGTACACCAGAAACTGACATAACATTGTAAACTGGCTATATTTAAACTAAAAAAAATTTTTAAAAAAGCCAGACAGAGACAATGAAAGAAACGAAAACTTCAAACCAATAACCCTTATGAACACTGATACAGAAATCCTTAACAAAATACTAGTGAGTTGAATTCAGCAATATAGTAAAAGGATTATATAGCATGACCAAGTGGGTTTTATTCCTGGAATGCAAAGATGCTTCAAAATACGAAAATTGATCAATGTAATATGCCACATCAACAACATGAAGAGAAAAACCAAAACACATGAACTTCTCACTTGATGCAGGAAAAGCATTTGACAAGATTCAACACCCTTTCATGATAAAAACACTCAACAAAACAGGAACAGATGTAAACTAGTGCCACATAATAAAAGCCACATATGAAAAACCCACAGCAAACATTATACTCAATGGTGAAAGACTGAAAGCTTTTCCTCTAAGAACAGGAACAAGACAAGGATGCTTGCTTTTGTCACTTCTCTTCAGCATAGTACTGGAAGTTCTGGTCAGAGCAATTAGGCAAGAAAAAGAAATAAAAGGCATCCAATTGAAAAAGAAGTAAAATTATCTCTGTTCAGATGATATGATGTTATATGTAAAGCGCCCTAAAGATTCCGCGCCATGAAAACTAATAAATGAATTCAGCAAAGTACCAGGAAACTCTCCCCCTCCAAAAAAAAAAAAAAAAAAAAAGAGAAGAAAATTTTAGTTAAAGGAAAACCAGTATCTCTTGCCATAAGGAGGTAATGTCAAAAATAAGTATGATACATATGACTAAATTCTGACCATTTTTGTTAACCCAAGGACCTGAGTCTGAGGACAACTTATTTTTTATTGAAAAGGAAAATTAGAAATAAAGTGGTATTCTAACCACCAAACTAACACCAAACTAACACTTTATCTTTGGGATAATCAAAACTGAAAACGAAAATATTTTCTCACTGTATCATTGATTCAGTGTTGTTTAATATGGTATCCAAGGTCTACCTAAATTTTACCACAAGTAAATCATATCCAACCCTGCACAAGTCCATAAAAATCACACACAGTGATGTAAGAATGCAGAAAGATTGTTCGGATTTACACGAAGGGTGGAAGTGGTTCAAGATGTCCATGGTGAGTGGGGTTAATTGGCAAGTGCTTCTTGACGGGCCAATTTAAGGCAGGCAGGTGGATGGGATGGGATGGGAAGAGGGAATCATGCATCTAGAGCTTGGAGACTGGAAAGCTGTGCACTAGGGGATTAGGTTCTGAGGGGCATAACTTGGTAAGGGCAGGGGGCACTGAGAAACATCTCAGCAGAGAATCTCTGATATGGCAAAAGAGCTGAAAGCTAGGTCCAATGAAGTGAGCAAAGGGAAACGGGGCTATTATGTCTCTTAAAACATACTGGCCTCTAAGTCACTAGGACAAAGTTTAGGAGTTGATGGGTCCCTGAACTAGGATTCAGAAGAGTTGTAATTGCTCTGGTGTGATTTTCACCACCTAGGCAAGTGTATGCACTAACTCAAGAGATTCCATGTTCAAATTCCTGCATGGGCCAGGCAGTTTATGCGCATACAACTAATTTGGTACAGGCATAAGGTAATAGGGAACGGTGAGGTGGTGTAGAACACACAGGGCACTTGGAGGCACTCAGATTCAGATCAAAGAAAGCACTGGGCCTATCAGACAAAATGTGTCCATGTCGCTGGACTCCACATTGTTGGACGCAGCCTTGAATTATTTCTATGTGTTCCCACCACTCTGAGACATTCCTCAAAATTCAGATCTTGTATTGTGTTCGTTCAGGTTTCTAAGAAGCAGGCTCCAAGACGATATTAGACATACAAGATATTTCTTTTTTTTTAATTGAAATATAGTCGATTTACAATGTTGTATTAATTTCTGGTGTACAGTGTAGTGATTCTTTTATGCATATACGTATTCCTCTTCATATTCTTTTTCATTTGAAATCTTTACAAGGTATTGAATGTAGTTCACTGTGCTATACAGTAGGACAAGCAAGATATTTCTTGTTAGGGAAAACAATAAATGTCTTTTGTGAAGGACAAGGGGCAGGAAGTCAGAATAGATAGGCAGGCAGTCTTCAGACTGAAATTCAGGTCTGACAGCTTTGAAATGAGTAGCGGGGAAGGGAGAGAGGGTAGGAGGAATGCCAGGATGTAGGGCAGTCCTGAGAAAGTCTTGGCCAGACCAAGGAGGAGTCCTCATGCGAAAGGTGTCTATAAAGGAGTCTGTGTCTGCAGGAGGAATGGCATGTGTCAATACCCCTGCCACATGCAGACTTTGGCTGGGAGCAGCCCAGGGGAGGTGTGGATAAACACGAGGGTGGATCACAAGGCAGCAGCTGGAGTTGTCAGTTAGTCTCCCCAAAGCAGGAGATGTGAGCGAGGCTTTTTCACAGCCACCACGTGGCTGGGGCCATCTGCTTCTCCAGGGTCACGTGGTGGAAGCTCCCTCAGCCGCTGTTCAGCTTCTGTGTTGGGCAGAAGAGTCCAAGAGCCTTTCCTCTTTGGGATCTCCCACACCAAATAGATCTTGGAAGGCTGAAAATGACGAATGTCCACTATGAAAAGAACTTTGTGAAAGGTGTTAATAACGTTTCCCATTAAAAAAAAAAGTTTTCTTAGCCAAGAGTTTGAAAAACACTTACTTTAAACAAAGTTAAACAGATTTCCAGGATTTCCCAGAGCTGTTACTAGGGTGGTGTATATAGTGAGACTCCAAAGGAATGAAACAGGGTGCAGAGTTTGTCAGTTTTATTTGACTGTTGTCTGCCCCCATCCCAACACTTGTATTGTATTTTTTACAGGGCATCATACAGCACACGTTTTGGAAATGCTGAACAAGCTGTGTATCTCCTGTTTGTCCCCCAGAGCCATGCCCCAACCTTCTCCACCTCGCTCCCTGCCCAGGAGGCTGACCCTCATGGACGGTGGTCCTCCCTTCCCCATTATCGACCTTGTCCAAGTAGAACATTGCAGGGGCTGGAAATGCTCTATTATCTGTGCCATCCAGTATGGGAGCCAAAGGCTCAGTAGCTTCATGTGGCAACTGAGCATTTGAAGAGTGACTAATATGACTGAGGACCTAAATTTTTAATTTTAATTAATTAAAATATCTCCATATGCCTATAGCTCCTGTGCTGGGCAGTGCAGTTCTGGATTCTGGCTGGGTTTGGTCAGTAAGAGGCACTAGCAAGAGACAGGGGTCGGAGGAGAGTAAAGAGGGTTGTTGATTTCCCTGGCTCCCTCCTATGGTTGTCACGACTGGCTGTGTCTTCAACCAAAGATCTCAGCTCTTGTCAGGCAGCCCTAAGATTCTATACCAGTTCTAATGTGTGAGTTTTCTCCCCACATAAAGCAATTCTCTAACACCAGCTGGGTGTCCTACAATTCAACTCAATTCTGACACTACCCAGAGAGAGCATCAGATCCCACAGGTGAAGGGGATAGTCCTACCAGACTGCTGCCCTTCCCACTTCAGAAGCCAATTGAAATTCCAATTTGTTACTGGTACTTCTGACCAACTGTTAGGCAGTTAGATAGAGGTGAGCACTGGGCCGGTGGGGAGGAAGGGGAACGGAACAACCCAGAAAGTGGCAGTGTGTCTGCATTCGGGAAACGGGACTCCAGAAATTTTTGCTTTCTCTAAATGAGGGCCAGTAAAAGAAGCCAGTTGTCAACTGAAATAAATGCACAGCCTAAAAGTTGAGAGAGATGTTTTATTCGGTGGACAATTCTGAGGACTCAGCCCGGGATGACAGCCTCTCAGGTTGCTCTGAGGGGCTGCTCCTAAGAGGTAGGAGAGGAGCCAGCATATACAGGAGCTTTACAACAAAGGCCAGGGAGTTGGAACAATAAAAGATTGCTTGTTAACTGAAGAAAACCATGCATCTCAAGTTAAAGAATATAGTGCTTTTCTATGTATGGGAGGAAGCGAACATTTGGGCTCATTGAATTCATTCCTCTGACAAGCACAGAGCCATCTAGGGCCGGTATCCTGTCCTTTCTTATTCTGAGTCCCCTCAGGGTGCACCATTGTGAGTGGCTGCAGAGCTGGGCTGCAGGCTTGTCTTCACTAGGGCGTGGCAGCTGCCCCTGATGACTTGATGGTTTCAGCATTCTGTGTTTACCGATATGGTTTGCAGTATTTCATTCACACAGTCAAAATCAAAGCACTGCAGCTGCACATGGGAGGGGGACCTGGTATAACTTGACCCAATGAACCTGCCCCAAAGGGGATGGGCGTGCCAGAGCGCAGGGAACCTGAGTTGTCAATCAATCAGTCAATCAATCAGTCACGAAAATGCCTGTAAGACGGGATATAAAACCAGGAAAAACAAAGGAACGGCGCCATTTTTCCTTTCTTGGATTGGCCCGCTCCCAGTTCTCAGGAGGGTACCATCTTTCACTATGTTTTTAACTTCACTAATAAAAATTTTGCTTATATCACACTTTTTGTTTCTTGTCAAAACTCTTGTTTTTTGGGGTAACTAAGACCCAAGGTAATTTCTCATTTCCCTTTTCCTGGTAACACAACCAACTCTAGATCAGAGGTTTCAGTGACCTTTTCTTTGGATTCAATTAATTTGCTAGGGAGACTCACAGAACTCAGAAAAACATTTTACTTACTAGATTGCTAGTTCATTATGAAAGTGAGACAGGAAGAGGGCAGGGCACAGCCATTCAAGGAATAACACAACAATAAACACCAGAATGGGAACATTCAACCCCCATAGGCCTTGAGGCTCAAGATGGTGAGAGATTTGACCTCTAGTAGACCTTGAGCTTCATTATACGCCCATTGCAATATATTAACATGGTAAATAACATGCCCACAGGAACCATGACAGTCTC